TTTTTTTTTTTTTTTAGTTGGAGTCTCACTCTCACCCAGGCTGGAGTGCAGTGGCATGCTCACAGCCACCACAGCCTCAACTTGCTGGGCTCAGGTGATCTTCCGCCTCAGCCTTCCAAGTAGCTGGAACTACAGGCGTGGACCGCCAGCTAATTTTTTTTTTTTTAATTATTTATTGTAGAAACGAGGTCTCAGGCCAAGCGTAGTGACTCATGCATATAATCCCAGCACTTTGGGAGACCGAGGTAAGAGGATTGCCTGAGCCCACGGGTTTGAGACCAGCTTGAGCAACTTGGTGATCCCTCATCTCTACAATAAATAAAAAAATTAACTAGGAATGGTGGTACATGCCTGTAGTTCCAGCTACTTGGAAGGCTGAGGTGGTAGGATCCCCTGAGCCCAGGAGGTCGAGGCTGCAGTGGCCGTGAACATGCCACTGTACTCCAGCTTGGGCGACAGAGTGACACTCCAACTAAAAAAATAAACTAAAATAAGAAATGAGGTCTCTCCAAGTTGCCCAGACTGGTCTCAAACCCATAGGCTCAGGCAATCCTCTCACCTCAGCCTCCCAAAGTGCTAGGATTATAGGCTTGAGCCACTGCTGCTGACTTTTTATTTTTTGAGTCAGAGTCCCTATCATTCAGGCTGGAGCGCAGTGGCATGCTCACAGCCACTGTAGCCTCAACCTTCTGGGATCAAGGGATTCTTCCACCTCAGCCTTCCAAGTATCTGGAACTGCAGGTGCATGCTACCACTTCTGATTATTTTTTTACAAAATTTATTGTAAAGACGAGGTCTTGCCAAGTTGCCCAGGTTGGTCTCAAACCTCCAGGATCCAGCAATCCCTTCACCTCTGCCTCCTAAAGTGCTGGGATTAGAGGTGTAAGTCACTGCGACCAGCCCCCTGGTTAATTCTTATATTTGTGAAGATGGGGTCTTGCTATGTTGCTCAGGATGGTCTTCAACTTCTGGCCTTAAACAGTCCTCCCACCTCAGGCTCCCAAAGTGCTGAGATTACAGGTATGAGCCAGTGTGCTCAGTCTTGGCTAGATTTACATTCTTATAACACTTGTGCCAAACACTGACACCTTAAAATATCTAGCAGAGAGCCCAGTGCAGTAGCTCACGCCTATAATCCCAGTACTTTGGGAGGCTGAGGTGAGAGGATTGCCTGAGCCCATGGGTTCGAGACCAGCCTGGGCAACTTGGCAAGACCTTATCACTACAATAAATCAAAAAGTTAGCAGGGTGTGGTGGTGCATGCCTGTAGTTCCAGCAACTTGGAAGGCTGAGGTGGTAGGATTGCCTGAGCCCAGCTGGTCAAGGCTGCAGTTGCCATGAACATGCCACTGCACTCCAGCCTGGGTGACAGAGTGAGGCTCCAACTAAAAAAAAAAAAAAAAAAAAAAAAAAAATTCAGCAGAGGCAAATATAAAGCATATCTAATCAGTAAGCCCAGAGAAATTCCTGCTTTTTGGTATTTTCCTAGTATATCAAAGGTTGGAGGATGGTGATATGGTTTTCAGGCAGTGCATCTCCTCAATCTGCTTCCCTCCAGTGAACTGGTGTAAATCCAAATTAAAGGAATGGATTAGAAAACAAGTAGCTTGGGTTGAAGTCCTGCTAATCTCCAGTTGTACACCAAGCCCCTGAACAAATCCTTCAGGACCTTTCAATCTCATAAATAAAACCCTGTCCTGCCTACCCCCAGGATTGGATGCAAACGCAGATGAATACATTGGGTGGAATCACTTTGCAAACTACCACATTATTTATATGTAAGGGTTGTTTTTAGCTGGGTGCAGCGGTTCATGCCTGTAATCCCAGCACTTTGGGAGGCCGAGGTGAGAGGATGGCCTGAGCCCAGGGATTCGAGACCAGCCTGGGCAATTTGGCAAGACCTTATCTCTACAATAAATAAAAAAATTAGCTGGGCATGGTGGTGCACACCTGTAGTTCCAGCTACTTGAAAGGCTGAGGTGGAAGGATCACCTGAGCCCAGCAGGTCGAGGCTGCGGTGGTCATGAGCATGCCACTGCACTCCAGCCTGGGCAACAAAGTGAGACTCTGACTCAAAAAAAGGGGGGGGGGGGTTGTTCTTTTTGTTATTGAGACTATTACAGACAATGTTGGTTAACAGAAATTGTTTAGATTTTTAAAGTAGTGGAATCCGATCCACTCCCAACCAGCAGTGTGACCACTGTATTTGTTACCTGTCCTTTCCAAACCTGTCGCCTTCATCTATCTATACAAACAACTTGGCACCATAGTAAGAGTTCAGTTAATTTTTGCAATTATGAAATAAGGTAATGCATGTGCAGAGTCTGAAAATCATAAAATACTCCACAATGGAAGCAGTAAACTCTCCCTGGGTTCGAGGCTCCGAAGGCTCGAAGCCCGTGTCCCAGCACCAGTGACAGCACCCAGGTGTGCAGGAGGTGGAGTAAGAAAGGACTGCAGAGAAAAATCCTCCCCTGAGCTTCTTTTTTTTTTTGAGTCAGAGTCTCACTCCGTCGCCCAGACTGGAGTGCAGCGGCCGCTCCCGGCCACCACAGCCTCGCCCCGCTGGGCTCCGACGATCCTTCCGCCTCAGCCTTCCAAGTAGCTGGAACTACAGGCGCGCGCTACCACGCCCGGCTGTTCCCTGAGCTTCAAATCCTCACTACTGGGCCTTCATGGAGCGCCAAGTTGTACCTAAGATCCCTAAATTTGGTGGAAAACGGCAAAATGACAGGGAAATGGGCAGACCTGGCCACTCACGTCCGCGTGAAGGCTCCAGTCGCCACTTCCGGGACTTGTTCAACCCCGACCAGGAGAGGGCGCGCTCGAGCCGCGATCAAAACGACGTAGTCGGAGCTAGCTAGTGCGCTTCCTATCGCATTCACTAGGAGGCGCTCGTCCCGCCTGGCCCTGCACGGATCTTTGTGTGCGCACGCGTGATTTGTTTCCTCCGGCGTCCCCGCCCCTCCTCCTCCGTCCCACACTGGTCACGCTCGGCCAGTTACGTTCGTGCAGCGTCTTCCACGCGTTTTCTGACGTAGTGGGCGGAGGCGGGAGGCCGAACGGAAGTACATTGCGATTGCGGCTGGAGGGAAGGGTGAGCGGAATGCGTGGGGCCGGAAGTGGAATTAATACACCGCCCTCTCCCCGCCCGCTAAAAGGAGAGGAGCCGGCCCTTGCCGAGTGGGGTGTGGCCTCAGGAGGCGGAGGACGCCGCGATTGGGCCTCGGCTGTGGCGACGGCGACGATTGGCCCTGCCTGCGGAACGCGGTGAGAATAGGTGGCGGCCGTTGGAATTCAAAAGTGGCGGGCGTGGTGTGGGCTGGTGGCCGCGGAATCCGTAGCGCGTGTGCTCTGCGTCGCGGGCAGGAAAACGCGGGCCCCGGGGTCCCAGCGCCCCGTCCTCTTCCACTGCGCTCCCGCGGCGCGTGTGGGGCGGAGGTGAACATGGAGCCGCAGGTGAGTAGGGGCAGAAGGTGTCCCGCCCCGGAGCGGGGACCACAGCTGGCTGCCGGTTGCTGTCCAGCCCTCGGCTCCCGCCCGGGCTTGTCATGCCTGCCTGGATGGCGAAGGTCCGTGCACCCCCGCGACAGCGGAAAGGGGTGGGGGAGTGGAGACGGCGGGAAGCAGCACGGGAGGTCGGAAGGGACATCTGTCCGACCTCCCCCAGCTTCAAGTCTCGGATGCCCCTTCCACACTTTCACGTCTCCAGCCAGGATGTATCATTTCGAATCCTCAGGCTTGTCTGACACGTTTCCGATTTTGGTGTGCGAGAAGGGAGAGTTCTGAGATCTAACTTTGGGAAAGTGGTATCTGAGGCCACATCCCTGCTGATGTCTTTGTGTGTTATCTCCTCCATTTCTGCTTCTTCTGGGTGCAGGATGTGGAGAGAGGGCGTAGGGTATTATTCTCTGGGCTGCAGGACTCCTCATTCTCTCTCCTTTCCCAAGTTTTACAGCGACTCCTGCCCAATGAAACTGGTTGACTTTGTTCTGTGTCTCTTATCGGTGCCCTGCTGCACTCCACAGCCACCTGCAGCTTCCCTTCTCGGGTGGAGAGAGATGAATGTGTGTGACAGCAAGCGTGTACTCATCTGTGTTGCCAGAAGAGGCCTCCTGCCTGAATCTTTTGTTTACTAGTACTTCACATTCAGAGTTACCCAGTCAGGATTAATCCTGAAGAGATATTGTGGCATGTGACAGTAAGACATAGAAAAAGCCTTCTCAGATCTATTCATCACATATTTATGGAGCACATATGTGCCAGGTACAGTTGTAGATACTAAGTATGCAGCAGTGAACAAGGAACAAATGCCTGCCATCACGGAGTTGCCATTCTATGCCTACCATCATGGAGTTGCCATTCTATGGGGATACAGACAATAAACATACAATTCTACTAGAAGGGAATAAGTGCTATGGCGAAAAGGAAAAATGCAAGCAGCTTAAGAGGGAGGAGGGGAGACAGTGGCAGGATAGAATATGAAATAGGGTAGTCTCTAAACCTCACTGAGATGTGAGAGTTGAATAAAACTTGCCGGGCTCAGTGGCTCAACCTATAATCCCAGTGGTTTGGGAGGCCGAGGTGAGTGGATTGTTTGAGCCCACGGGTTCGAGACTAGTCCGGGCAACTTGGCAAGACTTCATCTCTACAATAGATCAAAAAAATAGCTGGGTGTGGTAGTGCGCGCCTGTAGTTCCAGCTACTTGGAAGGCAAGGCAGAAGGATTGGCAGAGCCTAACAAGTGGACACTGGGGTGGCCATGAGTGTGCCAGACTGGGCGACGAAGTGAGACTCCAACACAGAAAACAAAACAAAAAACAACTTGAAGGAAAAGAGGGAGATAGGCAAGTAGATAGTGAAGGAAGAACATTTCAAGCAAAGGGAATCTACCAGAGGAAATCTGGTAAAGGACAGTGGGGTTGCTGATCACAATTTGTTCTTTTTTTTTTAAGTTAGAGTCTTACTCTTGTCACCCAGACTGGAGTGCAGTGGCATGCTTACAGCCACCACAGCCTCAACCTGCTGGGCTTAGGCAATCCTTTTACCTCAGCCTTCCAAGTAGCTGGAACTATAGGCATGCACTACCACGCCCAGCTAGTTTTTGTGATTTATTGTAGAGATGAGGTCTCACCAAGTTGCCCAGGCTGGTCTCGAACCCCCAGGCTCAGGCAATCGTCTTGCCTTGGCCTCCCAAAGTGCAGGGATTACGGACTGGCCCACAGTTTATTCTTGCAGGGGCCACTGTGAGGACTTGACTCTGTGTGAGATGGGGAATCATTGGATGGTTTTAGGCAAAGAGAGATATAAGATCTGTCTTACATTTTACAGAGTTCACTTGAGCTGCTTCATTGGAATTAGACTGCAAAGGGGGAAGAATAGAAACAAGAATTATGACCAGGAGGGGTGGCTCATGCCTGTAATCCCAGCACTTGGGGAGGCGGAGGCGAGAGGATTGCTGAGCCCAGCAGGTCGAGGTTGTGGTGGCCATGAGCATGTTACTGCATTCCAGCCTGGGTGACAGAGTGAGACTCAGACTCAGAAAAAAAAAAAAAGTCTTCAAACCTTGTCAAATGTCAGGTGGGATCCCAAATCACCCCAGTTGAGAAACACTGGTGTATGAGATGGTGAATTGGATCAGAGTGGTAGCATTGAAAGAAATAGTGGTCAGATTCTGGATATACTTTGCAAGTAGATTCAGCCATGCTTTTTTTGGGAAATGTATAATACTATTTAAAAATTATCACCTTAAGGCCAGGCTCGGGGGTTCAGCCTGTAATCCCAGCACTTTGGGAGGCCGAGGCTAATGGATTGCCTGAGTCCATGGGTTTGTGACCAGCCTGGACAACTTGTCTCTACAATAAATAAAAAATTAAGCCAGGCTTGGTAGCTCAGCCTGTAATCGCGCACCTTTGGGAGGCTGAGGTGAGTGGATTGACTGAGCCTACAGGTTCAAGACCCACCTGGGCAACTTGGCGAGACCTCATCTCTACAATAAATCAAAAATTAGCCTAGTGTGGTAGCGCGCGCCTGTAGTTCCAGCTACTTGGAAGGCTGAGGTGGAAGGATCACCGGAGCCCAGCAGGTCGAGGCTGCGATGGCCGGGAGTGGCCACTGCACTCCAGTCTGGGTGACAGAGTGAGACTCCGACTCAAAAAAAAAAAAAACAAAAAACAATTATCACCTGTAATCCCACCATGCAGCAATAATAAATGATTCGGGGTGGGGGTGGGGGGGACCAAGACGGGGATGTCTTGGGGCATTTGGGCTCCTGGGTGTTGTCTTAAAGGTCTCTTATCCCAACAGCGGCCTCCTCTGTTGGAAGTGAAGGGGAACATAGAGCTGAAGACACCTCTGATCAAGGCCCCTTCACGGCTGCCTCTCCCAGGAAGCCGACTCAAGAGGGGGCCTGACCAGATGGAGGATGCCTTGGAGCCTGAGAAGGTGAGCTGGGTGTGGAGACCTATGCATGTATGTATGCATGAGAGTGCTTGCATGTATGTGTGGGGGGGGGTGAGAGAAAGAGAGAGAGGGAGAGGCAGAGAGTATAAAATAATTAGGTAGGATAATCATATACTTCTTATCTTTCCCCAGAAGCGGACACGAGGCCTGGGTGCAGCAGCCAAAATTGCCACATCCCGCCCCAGAGCACCACCCCCTACCACAGTGCCACAGACACAAGGCCAGACCACAGGTGGGCTCTGGGGGTGAACAGGCACTAAGGGCATGAAAGTCCAATGCTCTTCAACTAATTTCTTCTTTCCACTTTAGTCTATTTGAATAGGTAATAACATTTTACGTGGTTCAGAATTCCAAAGGCACAATGGTTGCATGCGGTAAAAAGTTTCTTTTTGGCTGGGCATGATGGCTCAACCTGTAATCCCAGCTCTTTGGGAGGCCGAGGTGAGAGGATTGCCTGAGCCTGGGGGTTCAAGACCAGCCCGGGCAACATGGTGAGACCTCATCTCTACAATAAATCACAAAAACTAGCTGGGCGTGGTGGCATGCATCTATAGTTTCAGCTACTTGGAAGGCTGAGGCGTAAGGATCAACTAAGCCCAGCAGGTTGAGGCTGTGGTGGCCGTGAGCGGCCACTGCCTGCCTCCAACCTGGGTGACAAGAATGAGACTCCAACTGAAAAAAAAAAAAAAGTTTGTTTCTGATCCCTGTTCCATAGCTCCCAATTCCCCTCCCCAGGACAACTGCGTGTCATTTCAGGAAAATATTCCCTTCCTCTTTTTACACAAGTAGTAGCATACTTTAGACATCATTCTTCCCTTCCTTTTTTTACTTACTTGGTCCAGCTTGCTCCTTGGCATATTGAGTATGGTTGGCCCTCCATATCCATGGGGTTCTGAACCTGGATTCAGCCAACCACGGATCGAAAATATTCAAGAATGATCTGATAAAAAATGACAATACAGGAATTAAAAAAACCCACAGTGTAGTAACTAAATTCATGTGTCACTTGATGGGAATACATTTTTAGAAACATGTCATTGTGCAAACATTTCAGAGTATACTTACACAAACCTACACACCTAGGCTACAGCCTCTTGCTCCTAGGCTACAAACCTGTACAGCATGTTTTGTTATTCTGAATACCATAAGCAATTCAAACACAATGGTAATGTATCTAAACATAGAAAAGGTACAGTAAGAAAACAGTATAAAAGATAAAGCTACCCTATACATTTGTATAGGACATTTACCATGAAGGGAGCCTGCAGGACTGAAAGTTGATCTGGGTGAGTCAGTGAATGGTGATAAATGTGAGGGCCTAGGACATTACTGTACACTTAGGCTACACTAAACTTATTTTTAAAAATTTTCTTCCATAGTTAGTTAACCTTAGCTTACTTAAAATAACCTTTTTACTTTACAAACTTTTTAAAAATTTTTAATTTTTTGTAGTAACAGTTTAAGACATAAACATTTACAGTTATTAAAAAATGTTTTCTTTTTTTTTTTTGAGTCAGAGTCTCACTCTGTTGTCCAGGCTAGAGTGCAGTGACATGATCTTGGCTCACTGCAGCCCCAACCTGCTGGGCTCAAATGATCCTTTCACTTCAACCTTCCAAGTAGCTGGAACTACAGACACACACCACCACACCCAGCTAATTTTTTTATTTATTGTAGAGACAAGGTCTTGCCGTGTTGCCCAAGCTAGTTTCAAATCCATAGGCTCAGGTAATTCTCTCACTTCTGCCTCCCAAAGTGCTGGGATTACAGGTGTGAGCCACTATACCTGGTTCCTTTTTTTCTGTTTTTAAATTCTTTTTTTTTTTAAATAAGAATTAAGTTTAAATTTGGAACTTTATTTCTTTACTTTTAAAAGTTTTTTTAAAAAAAACTAAGACACATATAGTAGCAACTTAGTCCTACACAGGGTCAAGATCATCAATATCACTGTCTTCTATCTCCACATCTTATCCCACTATAAGGTTAAATGGGGCAATAACATGCATGGAACTATCATCTTCTATAATAACAATGGAATACCATCTCAAGGACCTATCTGAGGCTGTTTTATAGTTAACTCTTTGTTTTTGTAAGTAGATGCATTTTTTTTTTAGAGACAAAGTCTTGCCAAGTTGCCCAGGCTGATCTTGAACCCCTGGTCTCAGGCAGTCCTCTTGCCTCTGCCTCCCAAAGTGCTGAGATTACAGGTGAAAGCCACCACACCCAGCATCTTATTGCTAATTCTCAGAAAAAACACTTCCCTTGCCCCTGGCTTAGTCAGTGTAAGTACCAGCATGAGAGTGATCATTCCACTTTTTTCTCTCTTCCATCTCCTGCACAGCTCAAAAAGTTTCTAGGAAGACAGGACCCCGGTGTTCCATAGCTACTGCCACAGGTAATGGTGCTTAAGACCTGGGCTGAGAAGGAATTTGGGGTTGTATAAAGGGAGAATGATAGAAGTGGAGAGACACTGGTCCTATAATTCCTATGTCAACTTCCCACTTCTCTAGTGTTGAAGAACCAGAAGCCAGTCCCTGCTGTTCCTGTTCAGAAGCCTGTCCAGAAGCCTGGCAGTAGGTGACAAACCATCATTGGATGAGAGGCTAGGATAGGGAAGAAGAGGTGATGAGTGTCTAGAAAAATCCATTTGGTCTTTTCCTTGTCTGGAGGGGAAGGAAGTAGATGTAGCATCAGGTGTGGAGGCTTTAAAGGCTGGAAGAGAGAAGGGATAGAGAGCCAAGACTTCACTAATTTTTTCCTTTCTGTGCCCATCTTAGCATCAACTGTTCCTCCTATGGTGGGAGGGAAGAAGCCTGGAAAACGTCCAGCCTGGGACTTAAAGGGCCAGTTATGTGACCTAACTGCAGAGCTGAAGCGCTATCGTGAAAGGACTCAAACACTGAACTTGGAGAACCAGCAGCTGCAGGACCAGCTTAGAGATGCTCAACAACAGGCCAAGACCCTGGGGATAGAACGCGGGACACTGGAAGAAGAGTTAACCAGGGTACGGGCACAGGCTGAGCAGGGCCAACATGAGCTGAAGAACCTGAGTGCTCATGTCCTGGAGCTGGAAGAGCGGCTGGGCACACAGGAGGGCTTGGTGCAGAAGCTCCAGAAAGAACAGTTAGAATTACAGGAGGAGCGGAGGGGACTGACTTCCCGATTGGAGAAGCAGGAGGTAAGAGCCAGATTCTCACAAATGCCAATCCCCTTTCCTAGCAGAGATCACTCCTCCCCTGCCTTTCAGATGCCCTTGACAGTCTACCCACCTTTAACAGTATTCCTCTGTCCTCTACCTGTCTCTATCCTAACCCACTCTTGACTCTACCTTGCTTTCTGCTCATTCTCCCTGCCCTTGGCTCCTTGCATACCTCCTGCCAGGGCCTGTGTCTTCCCCTAATCCTCCATCCTCCTTCAAGTCTTCATCCTGGTCACCAATCCCGGTGGGATTCCCGCTCCCTCTTCCCGTGGCTTAGCACTAACTAGATTGACTTACTTGAAGTGTCTTTAAATGGCTCAACTTTCACTTCTGGGTATTTGCATATTGCTTCCCTCTTGCTGGAATGTTCTTTCTGTACTTCATCCATCCTCAGCTCACTCCTACACTTTGGGGTGTCAGCCTGAAACTTCCTTGTGTTTCCTGGATGTTCCCATAGCACTTCCTGTCCTAGTACCACGATTCCTTATTTTCTTATCTTTCTTTCTTTACCAGACTTAGGTCCTTGAGGGCAGGGACCCCAGCTCTGCCCCATCTTGGCCACATGATTTGTTTTTATTTTCGGTGGCATCTTACCCTCTGTGTATGTTCTTTCTGTTCTGCTCTGGGCAGAAGAGGCTACAGGCATCAGAAGCGGCTCTGTTAAGCAGCCAGGCAAAGGTGGAATCTCTGCAACAGGAGACTGCAGCCCAGGCATCCTTACTGACTGAGCGGGAAGAACGTCTCCATGGGCTAGAGATGGAGCGCCGGCGATTGCACAACCAGCTGCAGGAACTCAAGGGCAACATCCGTGTATTCTGCCGGGTGCGCCCTGTCCTTCCAGGGGAGCCCACCCCACCTCCTGGCCTCCTCCTGTTTCCCCCTGGCCCTGGTGGGCCCTCTGACCCTCCAACCCACCTTAGCCTCTCCCGGTCTGATGAACGGCGTGGGACCCTGAGTGGGGCGCCGCCCCCCACTACCCGCCATGACTTTTCCTTTGACCGGGTTTTCCCACCAGGAAGTAAACAGGATGAAGTGTTTGAGGAGATTGCCATGCTCGTCCAGTCAGCCCTGGATGGTTTCCCAGTATGCATCTTTGCTTATGGCCAGACAGGCAGTGGCAAGACCTTCACAATGGAGGGTGAACCTGGGGGAGATCCCCAGTTGGAGGGGCTGATCCCTCGAGCGATGAGACACATCTTCTCCGTCGCCCAGGAGCTGAGTGGCCAGGGCTGGAACTACAGCTTTGTGGCAAGCTATGTAGAGATATACAATGAGACTGTTCGAGATCTGTTGGCCACTGGGCCCCGCAAGGGCCAAGGGGGCGATTGTGAAATTCACCGTGCAGGGCCAGGGAGCAAGGAGCTTACTGTCACCAATGCTCGATATGTCCCTGTCACCTGTGAGAAAGAAGTAAGCATGGGACTGGGACTGGGGAATGGGGAGGAGTGTGCAGGGTGCCACAAGAGGCAAGGAGATGGAGAAAGGAGCAGGAGCGAATTGAAGGGTGAAGGGTTAGTGCTGAGGATAGGATGCCACATTCAGTTTTGGCTGGAGGGCTGTAAGCTAGGTCTGCCTAACAGAACCAGGGAGTGGACAGGAGTGATGGCATCTGCTGAAGGCGAAGGCTGCCAGCCCCCTGCCAGTTACATGTCAGCCCTCATTTGCGTGCTCAGTTCACCCTAGGATTTCTGGCCTGGCCATCTTCAACCTGCCAGTCAGACTCCCATCTCAGGGCCTTTGCTGGAACATGTCTTCCCTGGAAATCTTAAGGCAGTGAGGCCATCCTTGGCTATCCTGTCTAAACGTGACCATCCACTTCACACACTCCCTATTTTATGATTTTATTCTGTATCATTCTCAGACATGCTGTGCGTTTACTTATTTATATTGTCTCTTGACCAGGTTTAAAGAAAACTCCAAGAGGGCAGGGACTGACTCTCATTCATTGTCATGCACATCACCTATGTACTGATTTCTGCCTGCATTTTCCCCTTTTGTTCCTCATTCCCAGGTTGAAGCTTTGCTCCATCTGGCCCGCCAAAATCGGGCTGTGGCCCGTACAATCCACAATGAGCGGTCATCACGCAGCCACAGCGTGTTCCAGCTCCAGATCTCTGGGGAGCACTCCAGCAGAGGCCTACAGTGTGGGGCCCCTCTCAGCCTTGTGGACCTGGCCGGGAGTGAGAGGCTTGATCCCAGCTTAGCCCTCGGCCCTGGGGAGAGGGAACGCCTTCGAGAAACACAGGCCATTAACAGCAGCCTGTCCACGCTGGGGCTGGTTATTATGGCTCTGAGCAACAAGGTGGTACTAGGAATGGAGGAAAGTGGGTGGGACCTAGGGGCCAGAGAGGTTGGCCATGCAGAACCCTACTGAATCCTAACCACCTATTCCCGTTTACCCCTCTAGGAGTCCCATGTTCCTTACCGGAACAGCAAACTCACCTACTTACTGCAGAACTCTCTGGGTGGCAGTGCTAAGATGTGAGTGAAAGGCACAGATGGAAGGGGTCAGATAGAAACTATTCTGGGGTGTGGAGAAGAAAGGGGAACAGTGGAGACCAGTCCAGGCTCCGCTGGCCCCTAATACTGGATTGGTCTTCTCTTTTCCTAGGCTCATGTTTGTGAACATTTCCCCACTAGAAGAGAACATCTCTGAGTCCCTCAACTCTCTACGCTTTGCTTCCAAGGTGCGATTACCACCAATCCCAGGCCTTGTCAGGACCCCTGGATGTTTGTAGGCTTCTCCATTCTAACCCTTCCATCCTCTAGGCTGGAGGGCACACATTTGTGCAGAAAGAATTTACACTTTGCAGGCATCTGAGGTGTTACTCACTGGGTTCCGTCTTTTTTTTTTTTTTTTGAGTTGGAGTCTCACTTTGTTGCCTAGACTAGAGGGCAGTGGCACACTCAAGGCTACCACAGCCTTGACTTTCTGGGCTCAGGTGATTCTTCCGCCTCAGCCTTCCAAGTAGCAGGAACTACAAGCAAGCACCACCATGCCTGGCTAATTTTTTGATTATTGTAGAGATGAGATCTTGCCAAGTTGTCCAGGCTGATCTTGAATCCCTGGGCTCAGGCGATCCTCTCACCTTGGCCTCCCAAATTGCTGGGATTATAGGTGTGAGCCACTGCACTTGGCCCTTGAATTAAGCTTTTAAAAATAGGTGACTAACTGGGTGCAGTAGCTCATGCCTGCAATCCCAGCAATTTGGGAGGTGGAGGTGAGAGGACTGCCTGAACTAAGGGGTTTGAGATCAGCCTGGGCAACTTGATGAGACCTCATCTCTACAATAAATAAAAAAATTAGCCAAGTGTGGTGGCACGTACCTGTGGTGCCAGCTACTTGGAAGACTTAGGTAGAAGGATCACCTGAATCCAGCAGTGGCCATGAGTGTGCCACTGTACTACAGCCTGGGAAACAGAGTGAGACTCTGACTCAAAAATAAAAAATTAAAATTGACTAAAAGATCTAAGCTATAGGGAGCTATACACAACACAAGTTTTACTACCACCCCTGTCACACTATCCTCCACCCATGTGTAGGTAGTCATTTTTTTTTTTTTTTTTGAGTTGGAGTCTCACTCTGTCACCCAGACTGGAGTGCAGTGACCGCTCCCGGCCACCGCAGCCTCCACCTGCTGGGCTCTGGCGATCCTTCTGCCTCAGCTTTCCAAGTAGCTGGAATTACAGGCATGCGCTACCACGCCTGGCTAATTTTTTGATTTATTGTAGAAATGAGGTCTCACCAAGTTGCCCAGGCAGGTCTTGAACCCGCGGGCTCAGGCAATCCACTCACCTCAGTCTCCCAAGGCACGGGATTACAGGCTGAGCCACCGAGCCCGGCTGGTAGTCATTTTATTATTTATCCTTCCAGTTTTTTTGTGTGCAAATATAAGCTATACAGACGTTCTTATTCCCCTCCTTACATAACAGCAGTCTCCCTCTTTCATGTATATTTAGTTCTGTACCTTGTTTGTTTTGCTTAACTAAACAGCTCTAAGATTACTCTCATCAGCACACAGAAATCATCCCTTATTTTTAGGTCTGCCTAGGACTCTACTATGTGGATTCACCAAAATTTATCCATCAGTTCCCTCTACTGGACACTTGGATTGTTTCCGCTCTTCTGTACAAACAAGGCCGTGTTGACTAACCTTGTACATATCCCACAAGGGTCAACCTGTGGACATGAATTCTAAGACGTATGCTCCCTCCATTAGAGTTAAGCAAGTCAGAAAGTTTCCTTACTTCTGCTTCTAGGTTAATTTTTTGTCTCTGGCTCACCCATTTCCTCAGTGTATATATAGCCCTTTGAGAGGTTCTTGCTTTGAGTTCTGGTCAAGTCTGCCCTTCTTCTGTTCTCTAGCTTCCTCTCAGTCAGCATTGGTTACTGCTGAGGTAGCCATCTGCCTCAGCACCTGCACCCTGCTCCAGTCATCTACTTTTTTTGAGTCTCACTCTGTCACCCAGGCTGGAGTACAGTGGCACGCTCATGGCCACCACAGGCTTGACCTGCTGGGCTCAGGCAATCCTTCCAACTCAGCCTTCTAAATAGCTGGAACTACAGGCATGCGCCACCATACCCGGCTAATTTTTTTTTTTTTTTTTAATTTTGGAAATGAGGTCTTGCCATGTTGCCCAGGCTGGTCTAGAACCCCTGGGCTCAGGCAATCCTCTCATCTTGGTCTCCCAAAGTACTGGGATTATAGGCGTGAGCCACCGCGCCTGACCTAACACAAACTTATTAATATTCTTTTTAAAAATTATTGGCCAGGCACGGTGGCTCACGCATGAGCCTTAATATTCTCTAATACTCAGTTTATGTTGAATTTCATCCGACTATTTCAGAAGTATATTGTATATATTTGTTTGTTCAAATCAGGATCCAAGCAAGGGCAGTCTCCTTCATTTGGTTGAAATATCTCAAGTTTCTTTTAATCTATAATAACCCCACTCCACCCTGCCACTGTTTGTTTGTTGCAGATGTTAAGTCATTCCCTATAGCATATACCATATTCTGGATTTTGGCTGGTTGCTTCCTTTTCTCCCCGTACTTCTTGATTTAGAGGTTTGGTTAGATTTTGATCGGGTTCTAGCTGGGTGTGGTAGCGCGCACCTGTAGTTCCAGCTACTTGGAAGGCTGAGGCGGAAGGATCACCAGAGCCCAGCAGGTCAAGGCTGCAGTGGCCAGGAGCAGCCACTGCACTCCAGTCTGGGCAACCAGAGTGAGACTCCAACTCAAAAAAAAAGAGAAAGATTTTGATCAGGTTCAAATTTCATGGCAAGAAAATTTAATAGTGCAGTACACTTTCTACTGTGTCATTCAGGACACAGTTCTCTCTGATTCTGTATCTTTGTGTGGGGCTTCCATCTCTTCTCAAGCCTTTTTGCCTCCTCGAGACATAGTGGGCATGGGAGAATTAACCACAACTGGGACCAGTCTGAACCTGCCTTCAAAGACCTTATTTCACTATTTCCAGAGGGGAGCCTTAGCATTGGGGGGGAGGTGGGAGATCTTGGGAATACTGTTTTTGGTTACTGTACAAATTTTTAATCATATTTGTCTAACTCCCTCCCCCCAGGTGAACCAGTGTGTTATTGGTACTGCTCAGGCTAACAAGAAGTGAAGATGGGACCCAGATCCTGTGTGGGTGTGTGTGTGGGTGTATGTATTGGGGGTTGTGCTGAAGCATGCTTTTTTGGGTGGAGGGCCCTATGTACTCAGGCCTATCAAATAAAGAATAGTTATTTTTTTTAAATAAAGGTTTTTGGACCAAAAAAATTAAATTTTTCATTTAAAAAATAAAGCATTTGCCCAAGAAGGAAGATACTTTTGTGTCTGTAAAGATGAAACCTGTGGATCTGTCCGCTCTGCCAAGCGTTCGTGTTTTTGCGGTGGGGGAAGTTGGGCTTTTATCCCTTCAGCTCTCACCGGTTCTGGACCTGGCCTGGATCATGACCCTCCTCTCTGTGTCTCCTCTCCCAGCGTTCCCCTTAAGATGTGCCCACTAGCTAGCCACACCCCCTCCACGGTCGCTAGTTAAGTTTTGCCCTACCACCAGCCATTCGGGCCCCAGGCTGGGACGCCCTTTGGAGGGTGCGGGAAGGTGGGAGCCGGGGGCGGGGCCGGCGCGCGTTACACTATTTCCTCCCGCCCTTTCCCTGCCTTCCC